TGATATTTCTCCTGGTCACTTTAATTTGATTAATCCAGCCTGGCACTTTACAAGATGTACTCTGAATATAAGTTAAATAAATAAGGTGACAATATATATCTTGTTGTACTTCTTTTCTAATCTTAAACCAATCAGTTGTTCCATGTTTTGTTCTAACTGTTGCTTCTTGATCACATTTTGTTGTGATTCACAGAGTCAAAGGCTTTAATGCAGTCAATGAAGCAAAAGTAGATGTTTTTCTGTAACTCCCTTGCTTTTTCCATTATCCAGCAAATGTTGGCAATTTGGTCTCTAATTCCTCTGCCTCTTTGAATATCAGCCTGTTGTCTGGTAAATCTTGGTTTATTGCTGAAGCCTAGCTTGCAGAATCTTAAGCATAACCTTGCTGGCATATGAAATGAGTGCAATTGCTCAGTAATGTGAACATTCTTTGGCATTGCCATTCTTTAGGATTGGGATATAAACGGGTCTTTTCCAATCTGGTGTCTAGTTTTCCAAATTTGCCGACGTATTGAGTGCAACACTTTAACAGCATCATCTTTTAGTATTTTAAATAGCTCAGCTGGAATTCTATCACCTCCAGTAGAGAGTAGCCTTATTGTTAGCAATACTTCCTAGAGCCCACTTGACTTCACTTGCCAGGGTGTATGGCTCCAGGTTAGTAACTTCACCATCTTGGTTATCAGTGATGTTAAGATCTTTTTTTTTAGATTAATTTATTTATTTTTAGTTTTTAAACACTTACTTTTATAAGATTTTGAGTTCTAAATTTTCTCCCCTCCCTCCACTTTCCCCTCCCCAAAATGGCATGCAATCTGATATAGGCTATATATGCATAATCATAGTGAACATATTTCTACATTAGTCATGTTGTGAAAGAAGAATCGAACAAAAGGGAAAAACCACGAGAAAGAAAAAAAAGAAAATAGTATGCTTTGATCTGCATTCAGGCTCTATAGTTCTTTCTCTGGATGTGGATAGCATTTTCCAACATGAGTCCTTTGGAATTGTCCTAGATGATTGCATTGCTGAGAAAAGCTAAGTCTATCAAAGTTGTTCATCACACAATGTTGCTGTTACTTTGTACAATGTTCTCATGGTTATGCTCACTTCACTCAGCATCAGTTCGTGTAAGTCTTTGCAGGTTTTTCTGAAATCCACTTGCTTATCATTTCTTATGGAACAATAGTATTCCAAAGATCTTTCTTGTATTGTAATTCAGTGTATTCTTGCCATCTCTTCTTAATCTTTTCCACTTCTGTTAAATCCCTACCATTTTTGTTTTTTATCATGCCCATTTTTGCATGAAATATTCTTTTGAGATCTTTTCTCTTTCCCATTCTATTTTTTTCTTCTATTTCTTTGCATTGCTCATTTAAGAAACCTTTGTTATCTCTCCTTGCTATTTTCTGAAATTCTGCATTCAGTTGGGTACATCTTTCTCTTTCTCCTTTACCTTTCACTTTCCTTCTTTCCTCAGATATTTGTAAAGTCTCATCAGACAGCCATTTTTCTTTCTTGCTCTTCTTTTTCTTTGGAATGTTTTTTTGTGGCTGCCTCCTGTACAATACTGTGAAACTTCTGTCCATAGTTCTTCAGGCACTCTATCAGATCTAATCCCTTAAATCTATTCATCATTTCCATTTCATATTCCTGAGAGATGTTATTTAGGTCATACCTATATTGTCTGATAGTTTCCCCTACTTTCTTCAATTTAAGTATGAATTTTGTAATAGGAAGCTCATGATCTGAGCCACAGTCAGCTCCAAGTCTTCTTTTAACTGACTGTATAGAGCTTCTCCACCTTTGGCTGCAAAGTATAATCAATCTGCTTTTGATATTGATCACCTCGTGATATCCATGTGAAGAGTCACCTTTTGAGTTGTTGAAAAAGAGTGTTTGCTATGACTAGAAAGTTATCTTGACAAAACTCTATTAGTCTCACTTGCCTGTTATTCTAATTATCTTTTGATTCCCTTTAGCATTCAACCCCCTATGATGAATATGACATCTTTTTTTGGTGTTATTTCTAGAAGATATTGTAAGTCTTCATAGAATTGATCAGCTTTGACTTCTTCATCGATTACTGTAATGTTGGATGGTTTGCCCTGGATTCGAAAAGATATCATTCTGTCATTCTTGAGATTATGCCCCAGTACTGCTTTTCTTACCCTTTTATTGACTATGAGGGCTACTCCATTTCTTCTAAGAGATTCTTGCCCACAGTAGTGTACGTAGAGATCACCTGAATTAAATTCACCCATTTCTGTCCATTTAAGTCCACTGATACCCAAGAAGTCAATGTTTAATCTTTCCTGTTTGACTATATCCAGTTTACCTTGGTTCATAGATCTTTCATTCCAGGTTCCTATGTAATACTGATCTTTATTGCATCAGACTTCCCTTTTGTCACCAGACACATCCACAGCTGAGCTTTCTTTCAGCTTTGGCCCAGTTGCTTCATTAATACTGGAGCTACTTTTAATTGTCCTCGACTCTTTCCCAATAGCAGATAGGACCTGAGGGGCTCATATTCTGGTGTCATATCCTTTATCATTTTAATACTGTCCATGAGGTTTTCTTGGCAAAGATATATGAGTTGTTTGCCATTTCCCTCTCCAGTGGATTACCTTTTTTCAGAACTCTGGACTATGACCCGTCCCTCTTGGGTAACCCTGCATGGTATAGCTCATAGTCTCATGGAGCTATGTAAGCCCCTCCACCACAACAAGGCAGTGATCCAGGAGGAGCTAAAACAGTTGATTCACTCAGATAGCCCAACACATGTCCAGGGTGTAAGTTTACTAGAGGAGGATGAGCTACTCCCATCATTATGATACTTTTTCACTTTAAGGTGAACATATGTGCCTGGCTTTGTCCCAGCTAACTCCCATTGGGTTTCAACATTCCCAGGATAGATTGGGACAGCATGCTTTAGGAAGAGGTGGAAATTTATATTCACTAATCTTTATCAGTACAGGTGGAATGTCCTTTTAACTGTTAGAACAATCTACTCCCCTGATGAATGTGTATAAAAAGTTAAGCTAAAACTTTCATTGAATTTTTTTAAAGCATGATAGTCTCATAAACCCCTTGCAATATTTTTTCACTATGATTATAAGGGAAACCACAGTAAACAAATTCATTTTAAATGCACATACCCGATAGATTGCCGTAGTGCCACCTTACCAATCTGAATGCTGATGGAGAATAGATGCTAACTTGTGCCTTCATGAAGAATAAACCAATGGTTTTGATGAATAAAACCAAAGGAGATAGTCATGGACTTTCATTTAATCAACAGGAACAGTCTATCAGAATGAATTGGCATAGAAGGTGAAATAGACAGTGGGAACTACAAATAAAATAATTTGAGATGTTTGGCAGAGCCATATGGACAGTGTAACTTTTAAAGATTTATTATTTATAAGCTTAAGTTTGATTTCTTTAGTACCACCAGGTTTGACTCTGTGGTCCTAGGCATTTCAGAGATTTTGGAGAGTCTTCCTAATAAATGTGTGATATGAATTTAATAGATTGATCTGGGAAATATATGTGTGTATATACCCATATAAGTCATAATAAGGAAATACTAACTTTTGCTTATCTGTGGTGGCAAGGCAAGGAGAGGGTGCAAATATTTGAAATCCATAAGTAAAGACACAGCCTAACCTAGCCCCTTCCCACCTTCATAATCTTCTTACACCTTACTCCCCTCCACATACCCTGTCCAGTGACATTTTCTCTTCCTTCACAAGACACTCCACCTCCCGACTCCATGCATTATTCACTGGTGGTCTTCCATGACTGAAATTCTCTCCCTCCTACCTTCTTTCAGGTCCCAGCTAAAATCCCACCTTCTGAAAGAAGCCTTTCCCATACCCCTTTAAGACTAGTACCTTCCCTCCAAGATTAGCTCCAATTTATCCTGTATGTATTTTGTTTGTACACAGTCATTTACATGTTGTGTCCCATTAGACTGTGAAAGCAGGATCTGTTTTTAGCCTTTCTTTCTATTCCCAGGGCTTAGCATACATTGTGTCTGGCTCACCATTAAGTAGGCACTTAATAAATAATTAAATAAATGTTTGTCAGCTTGACTTGACGATGTGGCATAGTGGATAAAGAGTACATCTCAGAGTCAGGAAGACCTGAGGCCAAGCCCCACTCCTTATACATGTTAGCTGTGTGACTGTAGGCAAGTCACTTAAACTCTCATTGCCCCCCAGATAACTCTCTAAGATTCTAAATTGCATAAAAGTTATTGATCTTCATCGACAGTGATTTTCTCACACCAGTGAAATTGAAGGTCCAGAACCTCCCAAAATGTATTTGTAAACTTTAAGAAACTAAGGTCAACTCCCTTTCCCCTAACCTGTTTGGCCAGCTGTTGTTGTTGTTCAGTCTTGCCTCACTCTTCATGACCCCAATTGGGGTTTTCTTGGCAAAGATACTAAAGTGGTTTGCCATTTCCTTCTCCACCTTATTTTACAGAGGAGGAAACTGAGGGCAACAGGGTTAAGTGACTTGCCCAGGATTGCACAGCTAGTAAGTATCTGAGGTCAGATCTAAACTCAGGAAGATGAGCCTTCCTGACTTCAGGCCTGGCACTCTATCTACTGTGCCACTTAGCTGCTCATTTGGGAAGAGCTACTAACAGATGGAGAATGGAGAAATCTGAGTTTCACCTCTTTTCTTATCTCTCCACTGATGGAAGTACAAGGAGGATCTAATGAGAATAATGTACGTAAACCACTTTGCAAACCTTAAAGTGATATATAAATTTCAAATTTTATTATCAAAAATAGCATCATCAAGATATGAAAGAGCCAAAAGAAGGAAGGAAATGCAAGACAGTGGGTATGATCCATGTTCTTAGTAATCCAAATATTGTTTGGATTTTAGTTATTTATAATTGTTTTGTGCTATTTTCCTTTAGTAAATTCTTTCAATAGTTTGCTAGGAATTTTAAAAAGTATGTCCATAATACACTGTTTTAGGGTAATGCGATTGGACTCCATGGGCTTGGACTTATTTATTTTCATGGAAAAGGAGTTCCTGTGGTAAGTAGAATTATTACACTAACCTCTCACAACTGGGGTAGAGAGTAAAGTTCATGATAATTCACTGCTTACATGTAAGTCAAGGTCTTCAGTAGTTGAGTTTACCATATCTAACAAGAGAGGATAAAAATCAATAAAATATTTTCCTTAAAGGGAAGAGGGGAGGGGCATAATTAATGAAGAACCTAATTATGATCCTAGTTTGTTGATTGTCAGTATTCCAAGTATTATTCAATAAAAGCTACTGTCCTATGTAAGTTCCTAGAAAGCATGGAACCATTTTTGTTTTGCCTTTTCTTTTGACAGAAAAATTGTTAATAGGACAGAAAAAATTTTTAATATCAATCTTAATACTACCTGCCTGCCACTCCCCCTTAATGATCCTAGTAATGCCCATTGCAGTAATGTCCTTGAATTCCTATTTAAGATATTTTCAATTAGGTTGAGTTGAGCCACACCCTAAGTCCCCACCCTGGGACCTTTCCTTGTAAAGAAAGCCCATTTGAGCCAGACCAGATTCCAAAGAAGCTCCTGATGTCCTTACCCCCTTCCGGAATTCATGGCATGAAGGGCAAAACAGCCAGAATGAAGTGGCTTTCCTTGCTCGGGTTTCTGGGGGTGGCTGGCATCTCATGACCAGGCCTTTGCTACCTAATGTGACCCTCCCACCCCCTTTTCTACCAAAAGTGCAAAAACCTTTCCTGTCGGTCTCCTGGTAGGACATCCCCCAGGGTGACAGGTTTGCTACCCTGTTATCTCAATTAAAGATGCCTTATTCCTCCACTTAAGAGTTTGATTTATTTCAGGACTTGCCATTTTGCATCGCCACAACCGTGCATAGTGCCATGAACATAGCAGACACTTAATAAATGCTTGTTGAATTGATTTGAATTTTACTGAATATAGAGATAGTACCTAATACATAGTAGGCCCTCAATAAATGCTAGTTGACTGACGTATAAGAAATAATCATTATCTTTATGGCACATAAAGTAACAAGGTCAGGGAAGTTCATGGTATTTCTGACACTATTTACTTTTTTTAGAAAGACTTAAAGTGTTTTGCTCAGCCCTCCAAAAAATGTAGAAGATAATTGTTACCATGGTGTTACACCTTTACCTTTGAGTAACAGAGTGTAATTATCTTTCAGGATTATGATGAAGCTCTTAAATTTTTTCAGAAAGCTGCAGAGAAAGGTTGGCCAAATGCACAGTTTCAGTTAGGATTCATGTATTACTGTAAGTACTATAAATACTGCTGCTTTGTTCAGAATAATAAATACATTATTCATTTCTTCCCTTGTGAAACAGAAATAAAGGTTTGGTAAATCAGAGGCTTTCCCTTAACTGATCTGCACACAATTGAATGGTCTAGATCACTTAGTGGTGAAAGATTGCTCATCCCTAACCTTTTAAAAATGAATAGCCTTGAGGTAAAGCTAAAAAAAAAAAAATTTAAATGAATAGCCTCCTTTTTTCCCTTTGAGCTTCCAAAAGTGCTAGTAATAGACCTTCCTAAGGGGAACTGTGGGAAAATTTGGATCCTGAACTTTTATGGGGCAGAATAATGCTGACTTGACTTCCATCTACATCATCTATTGCTTAGTAGTTAGGACAAGTTTGCTATCCACAGATTTTTGCCAGTGACAAGCATAGGGGTACAAAAAGCTACCACAAAAAACTTGTAGCCTTCACCTCTTCTCTAGCTACAGTTCACCCCCTTTCTGGGTCACACTACCAGGTTGTCTTCTAAGCAGAGCAGGACCCCACAGAAAAAAATCTCTTTACCAATGGCTTCCAGTCTCTCCCTTCAACTCCTCTTCTCTTGTCAGAGTTAAAAATCAAGCATCATTCCTCTAGGTCTGGGGTCAGGGGTGGCTCCCTCCTTTGTGATAAGAAGACCTTGCTCTTACTTTGCCCTAGATGCTGTTCCAGACCCAGGCTTCCCTTCTTCCCAAAGAGAAGGTGAAGACTGACAATAAGCTGGGTCTAATAAGGCTTCAAATATACCTGAGTGAATCCTCTTACTTTGTTTCCTTCCATCACTAAGACATTAACCAAGTTCTGAGCAGCCCAGAGTGCCCTTGGGAAGACTATTCTTGGTCTGGAGTGACTCCAGATGGTCTGACCCCTCACAGACTGATTTTGGGGAGATGCGGTCAGCAAGGGGTAAGGCACCATTTAGTGTGACTTGGTCATCAAACTCACCCCGATACATCTCGGGCCATCCCAGAACCATCTCCCCAGTCTACTAAAAGTCTTTTGGAATCATGGATGAGTCTAGCTCGAGTGGAACTGCCTGAAGCTGAGTCTTTTTGTTGTTCCTGACTGCACAGGGTTGGTAGATATGGGGTTATTATCCCCTAACTGGCCAGATGCACAAATGGACAGTCCAAACCACTCAACTGCAAGGTCATGAGCAGGCTGGAATTGGGATGGTCTTCTGGAATTGGGAAAGGAGTTGGAAAGTACAGCTTGGCTTTTGTCTAGATATATTTATCTCATGATGGACCTTCTAGCCTCCCTTTCTAGAGGCAGCTGGTAGTGCAGTGGATAGAGTTCTGGACCCAGAGTCAAGAAGACATGAATTCAAATCCAGTCAAAGACACTTATTACTGTGTTACCCCTGGCAAGTTACTTAACCTCTGCCTCAGTTCCCTCAACTATAAAATGGGGGTCATAATAGCACTTACTTCAGAGAGTTGCTGTGATTATAAAATGAGATAATATTTGTAAAAGCAGTACCAGGCACAGTATCAGGCACATAGTAGAAGTTTAATAAATGCTTGTTCTCTTCCATTCCCCCTGGCCAAAAAAGAGCCCATAATACTGTTCCAAACCTAGAAGCCAGAAGTGTTCTTAAATCTTTTTAAAAATAACCTTAGTAAAAATCACTGCCAATTAACTGTCTTAGAAAAAGAATGTTTTTTTAATAAAAGTCTTCTTTAATTCTATGAACATCTCTAGGACACAGTTTTCCAGTTTCTGACTGGGAATCAAAAGAAGTCAACACTTTTCAAATGTGGGTGGTGGGGCAAGGATGTGGGGAACCAATTTTGTTTTGAGGGGGTCCTTTTAGTCCTATTTAAAACCATAACCACCACTATGGCATTTTATATTCATAGTCTGTAACTGAAAACAGAAAAAGGTAGAGCTCAAATCAATTTTAATTTTCAGCTGGCTCTGGAGTATGGAAGGATTATAAACTTGCCTTCAAATATTTTTACTTGGCATCTCAGAGTAGACAACCCCTTGCCATTTATTATTTGGCTGAAATGTATGCTACAGGAACCGGCGTGCTGAGATCATGCAGAACCGCAGTGGAGGTAAATAATGAGCTTTTAAAACTACTAGTCATTTATCATAGCAAGGAGACCGGATCTCTTTTGAGCTATGGGTACTTTCAGTTTTACAGCTATTGTCTCCTTTGCTCTTTTTTTACAATGTGGATGCCAGTGTTTGTACAAAGCGAAGAATACAGATAGAATTTAGATGGGAAATGGAAGGGTGACAGACCAGACTCATCCATCCCATCTGGAATTGAGTTTTTCATTGAGTTGGCAACCTTGTATTGAATCCTTCAGGTGTTCATCAAGTTTGGAGCTCTCCATTTGAATTCACTGAAGAAACTTCTGGTCAGGCTTTGATCAAGTTCATCCAGGCCATTGGGTACTTCTATTTGAAAGGGGAGTTGCCACTCGAAGGAGTATGAGGCATGCATGCATACACATACACATACACACACACACACACACACACACACACACACACACACACACACACATACTGGAGCCCTTTCCTTCCTTCCCAGAGTTCAGGGGTCCTTTGGTGTTTGATTTTTGGATGACAACTTAGGGACTGATTTCTTTAAGCCTCAGTCAGGGAAGTATTTTTCAAAAGCCTACTCAGTATTTCATTTTCCTTCATTGATTTATCAAACACTTCCTCTGTCCTACTATAAATACTTCCAATGTTGCATCTGGCCCCTCTGAAACTTAGTTCAAAAGCTGCCAGCTAATAATCTATCTTTAGATTTGTTACTTTGCCAACTTGCTAATGAATTATGTATGGATAGCCTCTTTTGGTTACATAAGGGCTATTCAGCTAAGTTGAAGTTGACCTCCCATAGAAAGCTGCCCTAGCAGTCATATCACCTATACCCCAGGGGAACTGTCTTCCCTTTATCCTCTTCTTTCCATAGCATCCAGGACCTTAAGACTCCTTTACACACAGCAGCACTGTCCAGGAAGGTCATTTGTTTTAAATAGAAGTCGATAAGCACTTGTCTCACAAATAGCCCTTATTTAAGTCAGCAAAGTGAATATAGGCTCCCTTGCTGAAGCTAAAAAATGAACTGCTATATTTCTGTACTTTAAAAATGCATTAACTCTTCTTCTAAATAAACTGTGCTTTTAAAACTCGAACTTCCTGAATGGCTGGCCAGAAGGGGCTAAAAGACTGATGTCATTCATCATTTGTCTGAAATTAAGTGTGAGATCTCATTGGGCCTGTTTGGTTTCTCATCTTCTTTATACAGCTTTACAAGGGTGTTTGTGAACTGGGCCACTGGGCTGAGAAATTCCTGACAGCATACTTTGCCTATAAGGACGGTGACATAAATTCATCCCTTGTTCAATATGCACTGCTAGCGGAAATGGGGTATGAAGTAGCTCAAAGCAATTCAGCATTCATTTTGGAATCTGGTAAGATAAGTTAAAATTCTCTGCAATCCCTTCATCACACGTGTATCCATATGGCTTGACCACAGGGGCCCTGGAAGCCACACTAACAGGATGTCTCCTTTTTCCAGAAAAGGCTACCATTCTTAAGAAAGACCAAATGCACCCCATGGCACTTCTCCTGTGGCACCGAGCTGCAGTTCAAGGTATAGGACACCAAGTTAAAAATAATTCTCGACTGTCCATTTCCGTTAGTCTGACTTGCTGCAGCCAGGTTTCTTAGTTTGTAGAAGGAGAAAGGAGGGGAATATCAAATAGGGGGCATGTCATGATATTAAGGTCAGCATTGGGTTAGCTTTGTTTCAGGCAGCTTAAATAAAGGCAGAGGTATTTTTGAATCTCCCCAGCACCCAAACCCCTGGCTGAAAAATGAAAAAAATAAATAAATAAATATTGGTCAACCAGCCAGTCATCTGTAGTCGAGTAAGAGGTTTTAGCAGGCTCTAGACAAGCCATGACCTGAATTCAAATTAGTTGCATGCTTAGAGATATCTTTAATGAGAATTATAGTGAATCATATTCATGTAGCTTTGTAAAGTTTGTATTTATGCACCTGACATATCGTAGGAACTTAATAAATGTTTGTTGACTTTACTATAAGGTGGATGCTATGAGCATTATCATCCCCATTTCACAGATTAGGAAATTGAAGTTTAGAAAGATCAAATGACCTGCCCACAGTCACACAGTTTAAAAATGTGGAGCCTAGGGGCAGCTAGGTGGCGCAGTGGATAGAGCACCGGCCCTGAGGTCAGGAAGACCTGAGTTCAAATCTGGCCTCAGACCAAACACTTGACATGTACTAGCTGTGTGACCTTGGGCAAGTCACTTAACCCTGATTGCCTCACCAAAAAAAAAAAAATGTGGAGCCTAGAGATTCTGACTCCTGTGTTCTTTCCATTACCACACAGACCTCATGGCAAAAGACCAATGTTTTCAAACCACATCCTCTTCATTTCTTAATAAATGGTTTCAAGTGTTGCTGTGGCCCAAAACAGAAAAGAAAAATATTGCCTGGTGGTCAGCCTTCTGGTGATGAGCTTCTCTGTCACTGAACTCCCATATGTAGGAGATAGAATGCTGGTCTTTGGAGTCAGGGAGACCTGTATTTCAATTACACTTTCTAGCTGTGTAACTCTAGGCAAGTCCTGTCATCTTCCTTGGCCTCTGTTTCCTCATCTATAAATTGGATACAATAATGACACCTATCCACAGGATAGTTGTGAGGGTCAAATAAGATGATGAATGTAAAGCACTAGTCAAATCTTATAATGCTATGTAAATGACAGTCTTTTTTTGCTATCACTATTCCTTGAATGAGGTACAGCTTTGTGTAGGATATGCTCAGCTGGCATATCCTTTGAGAACCCAAAGCCAGAAAGGGTCTTTTGAAGGAGGCTTTGGTGAAGATACCAAAGTAACTCATTTTCATTTGTTTCTATAAAATCTCATATTATTGATTACCACAACTTGCAAAACTTCCCTTGTGATAGTTCATAAAGCTCAACAAGGAAAACCCAATATTAAGAGTTTCTTCTTTTCTTAATATGCCCACATTTATTCACTATGACCAAATGTTTATTAATAATAATGCTAACAATAACAATAATAATCTGAGGTAGTCATTAATCTGGTGAGGCAGCTTGGTAGCGCAATGGATAGAGCATTAGACCTGGAGACAGAAAGACTTGAGTTCAAATCCAGCCTCAGATAATTACTGGCTGAGTGACCCTCGGCAAGTCACTTAACCTCTGCCTACCTCAGTTTTTTCAACTGTAAAATATGGATAATAACAGCACCTACCTCGCAAGGTTATTCTGAGGATCTAATGAGATACTATTTGTTAAGTGCTTAGCATAGTGCCTGACACATAGTAGGTGCTATATCAATGCTAGCTATTATGATGTAGTAAACTTGGAGTCAGGAAGACAGAAATTTAAATCCTGCCTCCGATACTTACTAGCTATGTTTTCCTAGACAAGACACTCACTCAGTCTGTTTTCCCTATTATAAAATTGGTACAACAACAGCATCTACCTCAAATACATACATATATACATATCTACACACATATATATGTGTATATATATGTTTTATATATGTATATATATTTCCTTGTGAGTCTTGAAGTGCTACATATTTTTCTTCCTCTTTTAAAATTATTTAATTTTTATATTTTTCTGATTACATATAAAAATAATTTTTAACATTTGTTTTTTAAAATTTTGAGTTTCAAATTCTCTCCCTCCTTCCCTCTCCTCCCCTCCCTTGGGAAGGCAAGCAATTTAATATAGATTATATATGTGCAGTCATGCAAAACATATTTCTATATTAGCCATGCTGCAAAAAAAAAAAAAAGGAAAAGAAATTTTAAAAACATTGTGCTCCAATCTAAATTCAGACTCCATCAGTTCTTTCTCTGGAGGTAGGTAAGCGATATAAATGTTAACCATCATCGTCATAGGAGACATTTACATAATGCTTTAGGGTTATATTGTTTTATAGAAATTTCCCTGTTTAACTTTTACAAAGACCTAGGCACAAAGGGCAGGTATTATTATTCCCATTTTACAAAAAAGGAAACTGAGATTCAAAGATGACTACTAGGACCTGAATCCCAATTCAGTGCTCTTTCCACTGTATCATTCATTTAAAAAAAAACCCTAAGACACAAAGATGAGCCAGAGTATTCCCTTTATGTAATGATACTGTGTGGTAGGCTCCATTGACACCATTCTCCTTCTCATCCCAGTTTTCAGCAAGAAACTTCTATTATTCCCATAGAAGTATATTATTAAAGCAGGGTGATGCTTCCTGCCTGTCACTTCTGTCACTCACATTTGTGAAGCTCAGTTGCAGTAGGAGAACAATTTTCCATATATGAGGTTTCTTAAAAACGTTTTATACTAGGGCCAAATCATTCCCTTTCACAGGCAGTGAATATAGTTAAATATATGTATATGTATATATATGTACATATATACATATACTTATACATATATTAACCCATCTTAATACAAGGCCTAGAATAGGACACCTTGGTGCCTCCTCAGAGACAGCTGAGACAGTCAGGCTGTGTCAGACCACCAGGGAGGCTTCAGTTTGAAGATATTTCCTAAAAAAGAAAAGGCTGTGTTTCACAAAATGCAATACACAGGGTTGGGGAAACAACATAAAAATCACTCAGCCTCATCAATCAGCTCAATTGGCACAAACACACTGATTATTCTCGACAAAGAAGTACCATAAAAGAACAGAATAAGGAGAAGAAAAGCTGAGAACTGAGAATCCTAGGAAATATTAATGCCTCCTAAATATAATGAGCAGGTGACTAAAGATAATAGGGACTAAATGGAGGTGAGTCTAAAACTATGACTTGGGGCAGCTAGGTGGCACAGTGGATAGAGCACTGGCCCTGAAGTCAGGAGGACCTATGTTCAAATCCAGCCTCAGACCAAACACTTGACACTTACTAACTGTGTGACCCTGGGCAAGTCACTTAACCCCAATTGCCTAAAAATAATTTAAAAAAAATAAAAAAGTGAAACTATGATTTTAACTGTGTAAAGAATCTTGGGAAATATTATTGCCTATAGATAATGGACAGGTGTCTAAAGATAATAGGGACTGATTAGGAGTCAGTCTAAAGTTAGGGCTCCAACTGTATAAAAAAATTTAATGATTAAACTTTAGTTATTAGTAATTAATTGATGATGCTTCTTTGGTCAGCTACAACAAGAAAGAAGCTTATTCCAACTTTGTCCCAAGACTTTACCAAATGCCCTCCAGCTATTGCATTAGAAAGACATAAAAGAGAAAAAAACAAATCCACTCACTTCCCACCCTGACCCTTTGTGTTAGAAAGGTCCTGAATCATATAAGCACAGTCACCATGTCTAGGTTATGGACTATGTTGGAAAAATCCCCTACTGTCCATCATCACCTTTCATTGTGTCAGGATGTCATTAATTCTGGCCCAGGGATGTCTGTAAAGACTAGGAAAAAGGGCTCAGAATGTGCCATCAAAAATATCATTGACCTTGTGACATAAATTTACCAACAATGAAAGTATAATCATTATAGGGGACATTTATATAATGCTTTAGAGTTACAGTATTTTATGATATTCCCTTGTTTTAATCCTTACAACAACCCTGAAGTAGGCAGATATTATTATTCCCATTTTATAAATAGTGTGAACTCAGTACCCAAGACCTTAGAAGCTCTCAGGATGGCCCAGCCCTTAAGCCTTCCCTAGAGACATATACAAACAAGAAACAGAGACACAGAGGGAAAATCACCCAATTACAAATACCCCAACCCCACCGTCCTTCCACAAAACTGTCCTGTTTTGCCTCCGAGAAGTTTCTCATCTTATTATCTCATCCTCTTTCTAAGGGAAGCCATCTCTAATATAGCAATAGAATGCACTAGCTTTAAAAACACCAGCCCAGAAGTTCTACTTCTCTCCACTATTAGAGGGTTATAAAAGTTTAAAACTGGAAAAGATTTTTAGAGTTCATCTCTTCCAGATTTCTCATTTTATAGATGAAGAAACTGAACTCTGAGAGACATAACATACCTTGCCACCATGATTCCTGATGCCTGCAATCAGCCTCAGAGTGAGAAAGAGGCCAGTACAATCCTTGCAGCCAATACCCACAAGCCCCCTCATAGATCAATGCCCTGGCATCCTTCGGACAGTGATCCTGAGAGCCTGTCCCTACTACTACATTCTCCTTCCAATAATAAAGTCTTCTTTCATTAGGCTGAAACAGAGCCCCCCAAGACGAGTTTCTGTATGACAGACCTGCTTTCCACTTACATAATAAGAGTCTGTGACTAAATGATGTACTTAGAGGGTTGGGTGACTTGTTCCTCCTTCCTCCCCCACCTCCCATAGTTATAGAGCATGCCCCTCTGCCTCTGAAACTAAGCAAAAACTTGCAATCATTTCCCTTTAACCTTCTGTCACCTTCTGCCTCACATCTCCCTAACCATATCCTTCATACCATTCCCATAGTTTCTTGCTTTGTTAGTCTTCACTTAAAGAATCTAAGAAGTCCATCCACATTAAAATGTTAGCTGAAAAACATTCAAGGCATTACTCCCCCAAAAGCATTTGCATTTAATATCGGATTCTTAAAGACAAAAAAACCCCCAAAGTTCTATAATGGTGTAATTTCAGGAAAAGCTTTAAATTGTGCAAGATGCTAGGGAAAAATTTTTGGATGACAGATTTCAGGCATACCTTGATTACATGGATGGGTTACCTCCTCTGACAACTTGTAAGACCATTCTCTATTAGAAAGGCTGGTTGCCGTTGAATCAGATAGCCAAGATTAATTCCACCTACAATACACAGCTACAGTTAATGCAAAAGACTGACTTTTAATATTTTATTTTCTCAAGGGAACTTTTGTTTTAGTGATATATTTATGACAAATAATGACATTAAAAACAGAAAATTTTTAAAATGACATCTTTCAGAATCTATCATTATGTTCAGATTTACAGATACTACCAGGCTATCTCCCATATTTCTCCTATATTTAATACTCTTAAATATATGTATACATGTGTACACATATACATGGGCGCTCAAAGAAGGGGAAAGGGAAGGAATTAAGCACTTATTACGGGCCCTACTATGTACCAGGCACTGTGCTAAGAGTCATGCAAATAATGTCTCATTTGATCCTCATCACAGCCCTGCCAGGTAAGTGCTATTATGATCTCCATTTTATATTTGAGGAAACCAAGTCAAACAAAGGTTAAGTGACTTGCCAGGGTCACATAGCTAGTAAGTATCTAGGGTCAAATTTGAACTCGGGTCTTCCAAACTCCAAGCCCAGCACTCTATCCAACTGCACAACATAGCTGCAAGGAGTAGTATCTAAAAAAAAATTTTTTTTAAAAAAACCTAAACAATGAAAGAATACCCCAATCTACCTTCATTCTTATAATAATTAGCAGATGTGGCTCAGAGATGAAGAGTTGGTCCTAAATCCTTAAAGGGAATCTCTAGAATGAATCAACAAAAATTCTAAAAGTTTTATCATCTTTTTTTCTTATTTAATACCCATTTCTCCTTCAAATTATTCCTTTCTATTCCCTTCCATTTGCAATCCTGAGGTCAGCATTTTTCCTTGACATTTAAAGGACTTAGATCTCATTGATAAATATGGAACCAGGGCTTTAAAGTAGGGCAATAGCCATGTTGAGAGGGAGGAGGTGAAGAGGAAAGACCTTTCAGTTCTTAAGACATGCACAGGAGGAGCATACTAAATGTGTTAAATTCAAATCAATTGAACAATAATAAGGAATTAATCTCCTTGTTACCCTCTTCTTCCTCTTCCTCATCTTCTTTCTATGGGTGATCAGTATGGGTATTTCCTCTAAAGACACTCATCACAACCAGTGCATGTCTACTCATCCTGAGCATGTCTCTGGCAATTAGGTGGCACAGCAGATACAGTACTGGGCCTAGAGTCAGGAAGACAAGAGTTCGAATCTGGCCTCAGAAATGTACTAGCTGTGTGATCCTGGGAAAGTCACTTAACCTTTGTTTACTTCAGTTTCTTCATCAACAAAATGGGGATAATAATAGCAGGGTTGTTGTGAAGTTCAAATGAGATCATTGTAAAGCATAGCACCAGTAAGATAAATATCTATATCTATATATCCTTTAATAAATCTTCCCATTTTAGAATTCTCAAATGGATAAGAGAAGGTTTAGAGTCCCCCTAGTATTTATTTTGTAGACATCTGGAAGTGTCTGAGGTAAGCACAATCAGGATGAATCACTAAGTGGTGTCCGTCAGCCTTCAGCATGAAGTTCAATAGATACGATCTACACTTACGGGGTTTCTTTAGGCATATTTGTGCCACATCATAGTTTCTGCCTTTCAATAAAAGGCCCAAATCATTTTAGGATATGATTATGGTTCATTGTATTTCTTATTTTCCAATACACATCTCATTTCAATGCTATGATTGATTTTTTAAAAAGAGTTACAGTTAAGACACTAAAGCAAGAACATTAAGTCAAGTAATTAGGAGATAGGTACAAATTAATAGAATGATTTTGGTTGTCATGATTTCTCTCTGCTTTTTAATATCTAACAGGCAATGAATTTGCTAGAATTAAAATCGGAGATTACCACTACTATGGCTATGGAACAAAGAAAGATTATAAAACAGCAGTGACTCATTACAGCATTGCAGTGGATAAATACCACAGTGCCCAGGCCATGTTCAATCTGGCATATATGTATGAGAATGGCTTAGGGATTCCTAAGGTAACTACTAGTGTAGGAATAATGATATATAAATGATATAATGTGGGGAAAGAGAAATAAAGAACATAAAATGTTAGTTTTATATAAAATATAAATATATACTATGTTATATATAATGTATGTATAAGAATACACATTACAAAAGGAATATAAAATGTTAGTTTTATATAAATTAAGGAATATAAAATGTATAAAACATAAGAATTTTAGAATAAGAATGCTTAATATAATATTCTATAATGTATAAGAATCTAAAATATATAGAATAAAGAATATAAAATGTTTTATAAAATATAAAGAATATAAAATCTTTAGGACACACAGGTCACATCCCACAAAAGATATCTACCACAGGTTTCAGGTACTCTTAAAACTATACTTCATGAGTCTCTACCAATATATTTACCTTTTGATAGCCAATATACAAAAGTATTTACTGGAATACCATATAATAAGGTATGCCCCCCTCAAAAAAAACTTAGGGAACACTGTCCCACAAAATACATACCATCAGTGGGGAAAGTGAGCAATTACACAGCATATACATGAAGGGCCCTCATACGAAGAACAATGTAAATGGGCAGTTCACACCTCTGATGAAGTAACACCACTGACATCCTCTTATGGTATCTACAAGCTGTGATTCCATGGGCCAGAAATCTTGACTCACTGTTTTTCTAGGCTTACTGGGCCTGATCACTGCAGGTCACATTGCTTTGCCAGCTATAGTATTTACAGCCTTCAACTTCTAGCTAAGCTGAAATCCTTAACAAAGAATTATTAGATTCTTTCAGAGAAAAAAAAAATATAACCCCTTACAGCAAAGAGACTCCTCAGTTCTGCTCCTTCAGATTCTTGAATCTCCTTCTCTTCCTTTTTCAACTTCCCTCTATACAGGGGGCTAAAGTTCAGGAAGCAACATCCTTGAATTCTCCTCTTAAGTTGTTCACAAACACGTCTCCAATGGCTGTGTGCTTCTGCTGTGAGACACCATTGCCAATGGAGAGGGCAGGGAGAAAGAAATTCTTTTCCCTCCCACTTGCTAAACTTTGCTAGAAGTGCTCCTAAAAGCTGGCTTTCTTGACTCAACTAGGTTCAATTCCCTTGTTAAAAACTGATTTGGTTTGGTTTTCTCTTCACCCACATCAATGAATAGTCAGACAACAGATAAAAGGCATCAATCCAAGGCAAGTGCACTGTGTCTATCAATGTTTAACCAAAATTACAAACCAAAACTCTTACAAAATGCAGAAGGGTCACTTAAAATCTAATTTCCTTACAAACTGAAAATAGGCTACTTCAGGTTTAGTGCTCTTAATTTCATCAAGAAGACTTGGCGGGGGGGGGGGGGGGGGGGGGGGGGGGCTCAATTGACCAAAGGTCCCCTGATAAACTCCCAACTGTAGCTGTATACTATGCTGTATCAACCTATAGTCAAATCTTGATTATGTACTTAGTTGGTTGGCTATACAGTACTTTCTATAACCATCTTTCATCTCAACCCTAATTTCAAGTAATAAAGATAAGACTAAAAAGGGTTCAGAATGTATATGTAGGAGTGGGGAAATGTTTTATGAGTGTTTTATGAATAAGGCACCAAGGAAGACACAAAGAAGTACAACGCATAGTGTTTGCTGTTAAGAGTTAATAATTTAATTAGGGATGGGGATAGGGTTCACAAATATACAAAAAGAAAATGAACAATATAATGCAGTGCCTATTGTGTCAAATGATGGCTACAGACAATAAATATATAATAGAATTTCATAAGAGAGAGAAATCACTTCAGGCTAGGTCAACCAAGGAAAGTTTCACAGAAAACTTTGTGAGGCACAGAGCATAAGATTTGTCCGTGCATGTTAAAGTGTATGTATCTTTTGAATGTTTCCCTAGCCATAAATCAAGCCAAACAGAAATTACTTAGGACAGCCAAAAGAGCTGATATGAATTTAGTTTGTATTAACAGAGGTATAACATTCAGGAATTAGAAGGTGCTTGTCCCATTTTGCTCCATCTGCTCAGACTATTATGTTCATTTCTGAGTGCTAGTGTTTAGGTAGGACAAGCTGGTGAGCTGGACATAGTCCAGTAGAAGGCAGCTGAGATGGCAGAGGGTCTCAAATTCATGCCAAATGAGAGTTGGTTAAGAAGATTGACTGAAATAAGTCAAGGTGTTTAACGTGAAGAAGAAAAGACTGGGGGTGGGGTGGACATCTTCACGTATTTGATGGATTGTCACAGAGAAGAGAGATCTGGCTGCTTCTGCATGGACCCAGAGGGCAGATCCAGAAGCTGCAATGTAAGAGAAAACTTCCTTACAATTGCAGCTCTGCAAAAGTAGCATGGACTGCCTGGGAAGACAGCAGGTTCCCCCTACTTGAAGCTTTTGAGCACAGGCTGGATAACCACTTGTCTGGTATGCTACAGAGGGAATTTTTTTTGTTCAGGTACACATTGGACTAGATGGATTCTGAGTTTCTGCAATTTCTGTGATTCTGTGAAGGATTTCATGTACTTCTTGATTAGCCTCTTCTGCATTGGAAACTCCTGGTAATTGATAATTATTGGTAGCACCGAAGGAAGGAAAATGTGAAAAATCAGAAGAGGTTCACACTGAAGCTAAATCTCTCATCCTTCAGGGCTTATTATCCAAAGGATTTTTGGTCCATGACTTCCTTTTTCTCTCCTGCCTTTGACCTCTCATTTTTCACTAGCTTTTCCATCACAGATAGAAAAGTCAAATTCAAATCATTCTATTTCCCTACTTTCCAAGGCCAATGACAAAATTTTAGTGGGAGAGGATATTGAAACTAATAGCTGAAATGAAATTTGGGATTATCCAGGAATTCCCTTTTATCCACTGCCATCCCAATTTTAATTTCCTTTCTGAAAGAAGAGTAAGATACAATAAATGACATAATACAATGTATAGTTCAGGAGAGGCCATTTGAATCAGAGACAAGTCAGAGCTCATATTCACAATTTCCCAGTGTAAAAAATAAAAGAACATAATGCAAAAAAAAAAAAAGAACAAGGCTTCAATGAGATAATATATGTAAGGCACTTGGCAAATCTTAAAGTACTCTATAAATGCTAGCTATTATTATTATTATTATTATTATTATTATTAAAGGATTTATAAAGAAAGAAAAGAAATGTCATTTGCTAGTATTCATTAGAATGATTTCATATGAATAAAAGCATACATCTCAGGGCAATATCTTATCCAATGTCTTAGAATGTAAGGTCCTATCTCCAAAGGCCTCATGATGGAAAATGCCATCCACATCCAAAGAAAGAACTATGGAGTTTGAATGCAGATCGAAGCATACTATTTGCTATTTTTTTCTTCTGATGTGTTTTGTTTCCTCTTTCTGGTGGTTCCTCCTATTGGTTCTAATTCTTACTTACAACATCACTAATGTGAAAATATATTTAATAGGAATGTATATGTATGACCTATATCAGATTATGCAGCTGTCTTGGGAGGGAGGTGGGGAAGGAGGGGGAGAAAAATTTAAAACTCAAAAGCTAATGGAAGTGATTATTGATAAAGCAAAATAAATTAATAGAATGTAAGGTCCTTGAAGTCAGAAATGTTTTTTGCTTTGTCCAAGCAAATGATGGTAGTAGGTGTCACTGAGAAGGGGGTGTAATTGGCCTGCCAATACTCCTCACCACATTCTCTCCTCCCTAGCCCTTTTTTCTCTAGCGCTTTAATAAACCATACCCTGTGATAACAATTAGCTCATTTTTTCAGCCTAGAGGCAATATAGTGGTCAGAGAGGCAGCTAGGTGGCTCAGTAGGTAGAGCCTGTGCCTGGAATCTGGAAGACCCAAATTCAAATGTGGCCTCAGACACTTATTAGCTGTGTGACCCTGGGCAAATCACTTAACCCTGTTTACCTCGTTTTCCTTATCTGTAAAATGAACTGGAGAAGGAAATGGGAAACCAGTCTAGAATCTTTACAAGTAAAACCCAAATGGGGTCACAAAGAATCAGATGTGACTGATGACTGAACAACAACACAACGCAATAGTCCCTTGTACCCACTTCGCCCCCTCCTCTGCTGCTTTGTGGAGTTAATTTATTCAATAAAAAACTGGTAGCAAAATCATAGCAGCTCAGAACCCCTATTTAGGCAGAGGTTTGTCTCTCTGCCCTAATTTAAAATAAATTTTAATCTGCCTGTTACTAGACAGGCATAAAAAGAGGATATTAGAAGGAAGTCCCCCAGTATTCTACAGCAGGAAGAAGCAAATAGCCCTTCTTTCACTTTCTCTTTTACCCTGTGGCAAAGATATTACAGGTTCAGCCTGAGTAGATCTTTGGATGTTATCCCTATTAGTTCTGCTTATCAACTTTTGAGACCACCACTCCTTCTCAGTCTGTCTCATAGACTGTGTGTGGAGGTAGCTCTGTAGGAGAGAGCAAGTAACTGCTGCTGGAAGGTTTCTCTACCATGGGGGTGGGAGTAGCCCCCATGTTAGGTGATCTGGGCATACTTCAAAAATTTTTGCACAAAGTAATAGGGAGGAGGATGTAAGGAAACCAGTCTAATACAAAGGACAATTTGTTAACAATAGAATAGTGGTTCCAGAGAGCACAGTTGAAATGTAGGGTAGGATAGGGCAGAGTATAATAAGGCAGGGTAGGATAGGGACTGGGAAAGATGGAACTAACAGAGACGGGCATGAGGGGATGGAGAGAATCCTGGGAGTGTACCTTCAGTCTAGACAGCCTACAACTCCAAATCATAGAGTAGATGATTGGAAAAATGCTTATTGAATTGAAATGAATTGAATTCTTAGTCATAAAAAGCTCCATTGTACTCCACTGACTCTCAGAAGCCCATTTTTTTTCACTTCCCTGTAGGATAGAATTATTGCTAATTTGAAGCAGGAAGGGGAAAATTCCTTTTTGTAGAGCCCAGTTAGCTGTATGTATCAGAGGGTTGGTTTTTCTTCCTTGGAATCATTAGTGACCTCTCTCATATGGT